TTTATTTGATTGTTTATTTATGTAATTGTCTATACTTCCCAACAGTCAAAGCTCTTCCGGTAGTTCACAACAGCATATTTTAAAACACTATAAAATGTACCAATAAAACATATTAAATCATCATAGCATTAACAATACAAATTCCTGGTATTCCAGGAAGAAAGCCCTCAAAAGTTTTCAGACCTCTAATCAGGGGAGGGTTCTGGTAGGACCCTCCTAGAATAGGGATTATGCAAAGGTGGAACATCTGCTGAAACAGAATAATCACAGATTTGAAATACAGCTTTTGGGAAATGCTAAGCACACTCATACATGAACATGATGTAGCAAATACAGTAGAGGGCATGTTGAACAGGCTATTTGCTTGCAACAAACAGAAATGCCTGACAATATAAAGGAAGGAAGAATTAATGTCATCTAAAGGTTTGTTTGTTTTTCGCTAAGATTATGAGTACAACAGACTTCCTTCTAACCACAACCATGTTTTATTTTAAAGGAATCTGAGTAATAAGCAAACCATTTTAAGCTATGGAAGCAGTTCACCCTACATCCAAAAGAAGCAGGATTCGTTCCCCTATAATGACAGAGCGTGCTTTGTAATACTGGCTGTATTTTCATATAGAGAAGCAGAACATACTGAAAGTGATCGCGCTCCCACGACAGCCATTGCAAATCTTAACTCGACATCAGATTCCCAACAAAATGAAGCATGGACTCCCTGCGGCATGCCTCCTTCTGCTGGTGCTTCTTTGCTGAGGGCACAGGTGCCTCTGGGTCACGACCCACATTTACACTACAGGCTGTTCACCAGTCCTCTTGCTATCTGAAGCCTTCTATCAGTGAAAGAGATTTTTAATTTTAAGCCATTAAAGACCACTAGGCTTCATTTTGTTTCATTTCTGGCTACCGTTTTGTATCATGCACTATATAGCCAACAAGAATTTTTCCCAAACCTATAAAATATCTAGTACTGCATTTTAATAACGGTGTGCTTCTGTCAATGTGGCTTTGGCACGGTTACATAAAGGTAAAACGTTTCAGCACCAGTATCGTCATGATCATCATGTTCCTTTTCAACAGAGCATGTAAATGGCAGCAGAAGGTAAAGTCACCATAAAGCAACATAAAAGCTCCCTTCGCTCGCTGCCTATCAGATTCTGCCCACCTCTGTGAGTGCATGTGTGCACCTGTATGTGTGAAAATGCGGTTTCCTCTAGAAAGTAACTGGGCAAAAGGGTTTTAAAAGAAACTACTGCCTTGATGCATTCACAGTCATGTATTTAGCAGTTATATAGCAAATTAAGCAAATACGTGCTTTAGCAAAAAGTCATCTGCATGTTTTAATCCATATTTGTTTTAAGGAGTCAGCACAGTCAAAAAGCTAGTTTTTCCAGAGGATTATTTACTAAATGACTAAAGTCATATACAAAAGAGTAGAGCACAAGGATTTCTCACCACTTTCAACCCTAGAGCCAGATTCAGTTTCGGAGAAGCTCTTTGGGGTCTGCATTCAGTGGAGGACAGGGTGGACAGTAAGGGGGATGTGGCCAAACGATGATCCTATAGCTCCAAGCAATTGTCGGAGGGGGCCATAGGAGCTCTGGATTCCTAGTTCTAAAGCTGGGGACTGTGCTCCAGTTCTAAGGCTGGAGCTGAGAGGGCCACATCAGCAGCTCTAAGGACAGGACAGTGATCCTCGACAGAAAAAGAAAGTGGGGGGGGGGGTGATAAGGAGACTGGAGAGGTGAGGATCTGACCTATCTTGATGCTTCTGCAGCCCATTTGCTTCCGTTCGTCTAGATGGGTAGAAAAGCCTGCCTAGTTAAAAATGCCAGGAGGGAGGATGACCAGGTGAGGATGCTGCTTTTCCTGTGCTGCATAGGATGCTCATAATCCTCCAAGCTTGGGGCCTTATGGACATATTTACAAGATTGCGTCCTGAACCTCTTACTGCTAGTAAGTAAGCCTTCCAGGGGCATTTCAAGCTTTTAGGGAAAAAAATGGTACCTAACAATAAGTAGATGGGGGAAAGGGAGTAGGGCTATAGGACAGGAGTATGGTTATCTGGAGAACCCTGATGGACCAGGTGGGCCAGATTTGGTCCACAGGCCTGAGATTTTACTTCCTTGGAGTGGAGGTTTATACAGACTGAAAGGGTTTTTCCAGCAGAAGCTACTCAAAGGAAACACAAAAAATAAAAAAGTCTTATAAGTGAACAAGTCACCCGTGTTCCAATGGAGCTTGAGCTAAACATGTCTTTCATGTTGATTTTAGGATATGGTGTTGATTCAATCACACATCTCTAAAACAACCAGTACCATCTCCACTTGAATGCCATGTTTTTTCTTGATACTTAACCAGATTTCGTATTATTCATCTACTGGAGTGTGGTAGTTGCAAAACACTTTAAAATAAATCATCTTTCCCCCAACACATACCTTTAACAATTTCCACAATTTGACAGTCATTTAAATGCAGTGGTTTGGAGCCAGGGTTCCTTTGCATGAAAATGTATGTGTGGAACACTCCTGCTGGAGGGAGGGGGTGGATTTTAATATTCTCCCTATAGGCCCCTGTGCATTCTGCAAGTCAACCCTAGAGGGTTGGGGGATTCTACAGAAGTGGGGAGTGAGGCAGGTGCTGCACTGGGAATGGGGAATCAACAAAAACCACATTTTTCCCAATGGAAGCCTCCACTGGATCTCCTTCCCTTTCAGAGAAAATGTGCTTCCAGTCAGAGGAGTCCTAATGCTAACAATATAGCCCTTTCGTCTCTTCTTAGCCGATAGACTGAGTGCAGCTCTTTCAGTTTTTCATAGCTAGGAGAGAGAAGAAAAGGAAGAAGAAGCAGGAGGGTTATGAGTTAAAGACATCATCTGGACTTCTCATAGATCTTAGTTAATAAGGCAGGGCAATGACAGCACCATAAAATCCAGACCCAGAGTCTGGATCCAAGACAATTGTGTGACTATTTGTTATGCAAACTGAGACAGACTTGTGGATTCAGACATAAAAGCTGTATTTCAAGCTGCATTTCAGAAACCTTGCAGATGCTAGTAGATAGAAATATCAAAAATGGCACCACCTCTTCTTTCCTGACAGAATCGCTACCTGTTAAAAATAAAAGTGGTGATTCACAAGCATTGTGACTGCAGCATGGAGCAATTACAGTGCTGATGCATTTCAGTCTTTTCCATGGTAATGACAGGTAACCTCTTTTGTATATTCACATGTAGATTAGCCAGCATCTCCGTAACATGGAACAGCCACTATTCTAGCAATGCCCATTACTTTGTAGCGTGAGGTGGGACCCCAAAAAAATCAGGAATTTATTTATTAAAAATTGTGTATGTATTTTTACACGTTCAGACTTCAGTTACCTTCAAAGTACTCTCCATTTTGATGCAATACATCTACCAAGATTATTTTTCCATGGCTCAAAACTGGTTTTGAACATGTCACATTTGAGGCCTTTTAGTGCTTTTTCCGTTTTTTGTTTCATTTGTTCTGCATCTGCACAATGTTTCCCTTTGAGGACTTTTTTCATCCGGGGAAACCAAAAGAAAAAAAAGGTGCACAGGGTGAGATCGGGTGAATAGGAAGGGTGGGGCACAAGGTCATGCCGGTTTTGGTCAAAATGCTGAACACTCAGCTGAACAAAATGTCATTGCTGCATGTTGCTTGGGTAAATCAGCCATCATGAAATAGGCAAATGTGTTGAAAGAGTCTCCGGAAAAAAAACCTCACTGAAATGGAACACAGCCTCTCACAACAACCCAGCTGGCTACACTGATGCTGAGTTCCTAGAACATTCTCCTAGCTGGGGAAGCCTGTACTACAAGGGCCCACCTTCCAGGAGATAATTCCTGTGTTTTTTGAGTCCTCCCTTGTATTTCCCATATCTGTTCACATCCTAGCAAGTCATTCTTCTGGTTGGAGTAAACAGAACAGCCTCTGGGGAATACAGAAGGAGCCGGCTTCTAATTAAGTCTTTAAAATGGCCTTGGAAGAAGCAGAAGATGTGGTGTTTTACAAAGGACAAGCAAATGAAGTAATTTACCTTAAATAAGTATTATTGATCCATGAAGAAACGGGTTTGCAACATAATATGTAAAGTATGCTAACCAGAAATTATCATTAACCTGAAAATTCACTCTGGGCCAACCTTCCCAAAGTGTGGTGCCTAGGTATGTAAGAAGAATCCCGTAAGAGGGTAAAAATCTGGCAGATTTTCACGATCTACCTTCCCAAATTCCGGTTTGTTGGTACTGTGCTCATACCATCTTGTTGTGATGCAAGTCAAGGCAACTCACAGACTTCCAGATCTAAAATGGACCATGGTTTCTGCATCCTTGTTTAACAGCTAATGAAGTCTGCATCAGCAAGCATCCCAAAACTGTGATTCTAGCATGATTTCCACAAAATTTTACATAGATACTTCATTTTATTTCCCTGTGCTCTGTTCTCCTTAATAGCCTCCATCGTAGCCTTTTAAGCTACTCATAGTATTACAAGATCATAGTGTATGTTGCAGAGGTCATCTAGTGTTCCCTGTAATGCAGACACGCATATGCGATCCTGTTATTTTGTGGGTAATTGTAGAATCAGTGCAAGCGCCAGAAGTAAAGACCCCAAGGCAATGCAACCTCAGTGGGGCCCCTCCCTGGTGAGTCTACCTTCTTGCCACCACGGCCACCAGGTACTGTGGCTCTTCACCGTCTTCCTTTTCATTGCTGTCCCTTGCTTGCTTGACAGAGCCATGGAGCAAGTAGGCCGTAGTCTCTGCTGACCCTCCTCCTCACCACCTTTGTCTGGACCAGAGCAAGTCGAACAAGCAGGTTCCAGTGGTGGAAAAGGAAAGCAAGTGCGGGGGGCTTTTGTCAGTGGGGACATCTGGGGCATGGGTCCTCAGCTGATGTCTGCCTGCCCATGTCTGCCTTTGACAACAGTCCTGAGTGGAATGTGAATTATCTGATACGTGTTTTTGTGTTCTGTTTCAGATGATCATTCTCGAGTTAGACTGCAGCCCATTGAAGGAGACTTAAATTCTGACTACATCAATGGAAATTATATTGATGTACGTATGCTCATCCATTAAGAGTATTTTTCAAAGAAAATGGTTTGCTATTGGCTATTTAAAAGAGATCTTTCATCTGTTCAGGCTGGCAGCTGCTTAATACTATGAGAAATCATAGTTAGAGGACCCCAGTTGTATACTAAAGTTGACATTAAAAGTACCAAAGATTTGCTAATAAGAAAATTGTATCAGTCATTCCCCAAAATTGCTGTGTTCTGGAACAGAGCCTTGCGATAATAGTATTTGGCTACTTTTCCTCCTTAAGCATATGTGGACCAAAGCATTGTTATTTTCGTTTTCTGTCAACATCTTGGCATAATGCCCTTTTAAAGGGGAACTGTTTGCATATTAATGTGACAAAACTCCATAATTCCTAATGCAGTGACTTGAAATCTCTTGTCATCTCTGCACTTTTAAGCAGCCTTCAAAGCCTAGTCTGCATCTGTTAACCAGTATTTCTAATGCAAGCAAGACATTTCATTAAATATGTACACTGTTCAATTATTGAAGGCCCCTTCTTTGTTCATACTGCATCATGTTAACTTAATGTTTTACATTAGAATAAATTCTTTAAGAGACAGTATTTGGAGGGCACTGAAAGACTGAAATCAAATGAAAATCAAGGAAGAATCAATGCCATTTAAAACTCTAAGCCTATAAAGAAACTACAGTCGTTTTCAAATCCATACATATCTTCATGTTTAATAGCTTAAAACAACTTAAGGCAAAATCCTATGCTTGTTTAGACAGAACAAAGCACTGCAGCTCCTGGCATAAACATGCATTGGATTGTGCTTTTCTTTGATACTTTGCAGTGGCTATGCCAAAAGTGAATTTAGAGCATTTTAGTTAATTAGAAATGTTTGTTTATTATTTAACACATTATATTGTGTTAAATAAAGATTAAATGAAGACCAAAGGATTTGCATCAAACACCTTAACTCGCTTCTTCTTTGGCATTCTCAACATCAGAGATGGTGCCCCTTGGCTTGCCCTAAATGGTAGCTAATTCAGGCATACATCTGAGCTAATACTGGCATAACCAGGGTGAGTGCTTAGGCAGATAATTCTTCATTGACTGTTTGAAGTCATCACACCACAGTAATACGATTTGGACTACCCCTAATATCCTTGGACAAGTGTACATTATTAAGGTCATACTGAAGCCAGTTTAAATTGCTCCGTAGGGTGGCTCACGCCATGCCACAGGCCATTTGTGTGCATGCGTTCAACACTAATTGAGCCAATGTTTCCACATCACCACACTTCACTTGGCTTTTTGTGGTAGCATGGAAGAAATAGCTTAATCTGTTTAGTCAATCACCATTTGCAGATGGAGCAATTAAAGGTGTTTTCCACATAGGGGTTGTTGTCTACCTTGGCACATAGCCCCCTTGTCACCCTTCTCTTGTCTAGTATTTTAGAGAGTATGAAATATAACTTCACATTTCTCCCTTTATTTGGTTGGAGGTATAGATCTACCATTATTTAAAAGCACCTTTGGAAATATTATGTATCAGATGTGAATACACCAATATTTATGTTAGAGTCTTGGCAAAGATGTTCCAATAACAACAGCAATGCAATGTAAATTCTATTGGCCTTGATACCAAATAAAAATCAGTATTTCATGTATTTACTGCTCATCTGGCATATGACTGAATTAGTCTTGCTTTCCAGAGAAAGGAGTATGGTTACTTTCCATTGAATTTTCTAGTTAGAGCTAAGCAAACTATCAGAGTGCATATGTTCCATAAAATGGCATTTTTCCCAATCAGGAATAAATTAGATTCCAAAAGATTTCTTAGCACTGTTATGCCCTGATTGGATGAATAAAGGTGATCGAGATAAAACAGTAACTGTTTCACTGTCAAAAATGGGATTTTACTGTCAGACTGCAATTTCTGCTTTTCAAGTTCATCTTTTATTATGTGTGTTGGTAATAATTGGTTTTAAATAGACCTGAAAAGCAAGTGTTATAAATTGCAGTGGCAAATATATATACATGTCCTGCTTCAAAAGCATTAATTGAATTAGGATTACTTTAGCATTAACATCATATTCATACAAAAGTGAATGCAAAAGAGATGTAAAAATAATAATCTTTCATAAGTAACTATAATATGACAGTTATAGAATTCTGTGCACTTATATTACCTGTTATGGCAAAGTCTTTTTTATATATAAAAAGTATCCTGCACATCTTAAAGAATGTCCAGTAGGTAACAACTTAGGTCTAATTCACACATTACTGAGCTCTCCATAGTAAGCAATGAAAAAATACTGATTTGTGATTACACAGTGATAATTATTTCTCTCCCCACCCTACTGCCACCCAATTAGCAGATCAGGGTGTGCTGATGAGACAAGTAACTATTATTATTAATTTCATTTCTATACTGCCCCATAGCCAGAGCTCTCTGGGCTGTTTCAGTGATGTGAATGGAGGTGCCAAATATTATCTCAATTGTGTGGGGTCATAGCACAGAAAATCAGTTTTTTCATGGGTAATGTACTGCACTGATAACTTAAACATTGCCTTACAGTGCTTGCAAGTATTTTGATACTTGAAAGGGCCTTAACAAAGAAATGTTACTGCTACTTGCAAAGACCAATAGAATATTTCCTTGGAAAAGAAGCGAAAGAATCCTGTAGAATTCAATAGCTATATTCCCTACCTAATCATTCGCAGCTTTGGCTATTACTCCTTTCTGCATGGTCATAAAGCCAAACCTTTTAACCCAATATGCTTTTTAATCAGCATTACATTCAATTATTTGTAGATATTCATGTTTATAGTTCATACATCATACTTAGCTTGTGTTCCAGATTGACACAAAATGCTTTTTTAAATATTTTATTTCAGGGATATCACAGGCCAAACCACTATATTGCTACACAAGGTAGGTTCATTTATGTTTTCTTGTATATGTATGCATTTCTCTGTAAATGAAAAATCATACTTGGGAACATTTTCACTCTAAGCTGAGGAAACAACCAATAAGTCAATCCAGGAACCTGATTGATTGAGAGAAGTCCTCTAACCTCACAGCATCCCCCAACTGACTACAGAAGTCAAGAGTTTTGATATCAGCACTGATGAACAGTACTGAGGATTATAGGCTAAACCATGCTGCAATCAATGTGTAGCAACCTTTCTGTACCTGCTAATTCTATGCCCATTTCTGACACAATAGAGAGAGCATCCTCACTCTATTTCATAAGTTAAGCAGACCACCAACAATGTAAAATTTAGGTCCCACCTAAAGGAACAGTTTTCCTATTCCTGAGACTGCATGGAGCAGCTAGGACTGGAACATGGGTTCAAGGTCCAAGGTGTCTCAGACACCCACCTACCCACTCCACATAGCCATCCGGAGAGGCCGAGGTGCTCAGGACAGTAGACACAAATGCCATCTTATTCCTGCAGTCAAGAGAGTGCTATGATTTCAGTAATTCAGAACACATGTGCTTTGTTTTTTTGTTTTTTGCAATCAGGGATAGCAAATGGATTTTACTGTTATTCTGACATATCAGGGTTAGGATAAGGGTTAAAACAGGAGTGCTTTTACTTTAAAGCAGGAAATGGCAACAAGATAGTGCTGGAAGGGAAAATCTGTGTATCACAGCTGAAGTTATGCACAAGGCCATCTAGGAAGGCCTCCAAAGGATAATTAAGTCTAGAATCTACATAGCTGCTCAACTGCTGGTATTATGCAATAGGGAGGTGGCTGTCATATTCTGAGCTATACTGCCTGATGAGTGTATCACATTCATAATTTCACTGCTTTTCTTGTTATGCCACTTTGAAGACGAACATAGAGCACCCAGAGGTTCAAAACACTAAAACCTAGAAAACACTTGCATTTTTCTTTTTCCTTATAGAAGTTACACATAATGTAAAGATACTCTTTTTGTCCTCCTGGAGAACTCTGTTTCTCGAAGCCCTGGAGGTTCTCTAGCATATACGTTTAGCTAGATCTTCAGTTTTACAGAGTGAGATTTACATTTCCAAGAGAATGTAGCCAAAAGCAGAATTCTAGGATGTATTTACACAGTCAAAGAGCCATGAGGATATGTCTCCTCAGCATTCCACATAATTCTTCAAGCCGATGCAACTGAAAGTGACACTGAACATATTTGGATGCTTCCTTCTTTCCTCCGTGAAATCATATTTATCAGGTCACAATGTTAACGCTTTCTTCTCATGAGTATGTGTGTAATTCCATTCTGCCTCCATGGAATTGGGAATGTTCCTGGTGGCTACCATAGAAATTTTCGTTTCATTTATTACATTTCTATACCACCCAATAGCCAAGTTCTCTATTACATAAAATAAGTGAAGGATGATGGACTATTCTCCAAGTGAGATCACAGTCCTTGTTTATAAGCCATTGTTACTCCTAACAGTTTACAACGGGCTGTCAAGGACAAAGACTTTTTGGAGGGCATTCATCAGTGAGTCACAAAAGGTCTGAGACAATTTGATAGCACGTACCAGCAAAGCCCTAACAAAGCAGCAGCAGCATAGCTCAACATAGTCACACTTGCTTTTTATTGCAAGCATTTCAGGACAGGAAGTTTATTAAGCAGCTCCCATAAACAATACCACCAACCTCCCATGTGAGAAGGTACATGGTTTAAGCAATTTGTTCAATTCAAGGCAATAAATTTAATGCAGTAACCATCCATGGAGATACAAGTGCACATACTGATGACTTAAACCCCATCTTCAGTTCTGCAAAACATATTTATCAAACATCATTTACTGCAGACTGTGTTCATTCTCATAATTTCTTGACAGTTCATTTCCTTCCATCATTTTTTCCCCGTGCACATGAGTAAATTCCTTTTCAAGCTGCAACAACTTTGGGGATAAGTCTCATACCTACCTAGCTAATTTGGGATTACCCTATTGGAATGAACTGCAAGTATTTCACTGGTTATCCTAAATGAGTCCAATTTTAAATAAGATCCATTTCAAATCAGTAAGGCTTCTGAACCCCATCATGCTCCTAGCAATGTACCTGTCCCATGTTCTGATGGTGGTTAGAGCCTGAAGTCTAAGGCCCTGCTATGGCACTTCATAGACAACCCTCCCTAACTCCATTTCTCCAATAACTCTCACAAATGGGCAGAGAACAAGGAGAGTGCCTGAGATCCACAATAGGCTGAAGCAAGTCCTATTTTGGCTGATTTCTGCATTGCTAACTCTGACTTAGTCTGAGGAGATTCCAGCAATTCAGTGTATGACTCCTTTCCTCCATGTTTAGTTTTGTCCACATCAGTAGTTACTGCAGAAACTACTATGGCTAAAACCTGTGTTTTCCTAACTCATGCACCAGACTGTCACATGGATATAATATTTATGTGAAAACAAAAAGGTGATCTTTTGTGAACTGGGATGGGAAAAAGAGAGGAAAAAGCTATGTCATCATGTTTTTCTCTCCATCATCTCCAGGCATAAACTCTTAACTTAGGTAGTCACTCAAACCTATCCTTATACTTTTGAGAAATATATCTATATAAATATCTCAGACTTTCAGTTCAGATGAACTAATTATCTATACTGAATATCTGAAATATTTCCCTTAAACTGTTTCACAGCCAAGCTTTCAGCTCCTTCCTGCCTTTGTCCATGTATGTGCTTCCATTATATTCCACAGGAAAAAGAAATCAATTGAGAAATCAGTTCAAATCTCTCTAGAGTTGATTGAGATTGGTATTTAATTGTCCTAGTGCTGCTCTTTAACTTTGTTCAACATACCGAGTGTTAATGAGCAAATATAATTGGCTGGTGCTAAATAACAGCAAATCCAATCAGTTTGCAATAGGCTACCAGACTGGCTTTTAACAAAGCTGGAAAGTTGCATAATCTCTTGTTTCTTACTGTTTAATGTGTCTCCCAAATGAACCAGAGTTAGTTTAACAGGCTTATGCTCCACAATGAGCTTACCTCATGCCCTTTTCCCATTCTGGTTGATTGTGTCATACCTAATAGGGTACCAAGAAGCCATCTAACTAAATTTTAACTGCAATAAATTCAAAACCTGCAATTTGGGCTGGAAAATTAATGTCTATTTTCTTCTGTACAGTAGCTATAATAGGCTGAAATTGCTGCTAATTAAAACTTTAGGTGATCTACCATAATTGGCAGACACAGTAAGCACCCGGATCATCTTACTGCAAAACCCTCAAGCATTAAGTCAGTGCAATGGATCATGTAGAAGAACAGGGAAGCACAATTTCAAAATGATTGTTTGACATTTTCTTATGAAAGTAATTATTTAAAGTCAATTTACAGTTAAAAATGCATGTGACTCTACAATTGTCTCATATGCTGGTCGTTACATTGATTACACATGATAGATAGTTGATGAATGTTATTATGCTCTTGTTAGAGAAGTGTGGAAGAATTTCCTGGGGTAAAAAATGCAGCAGTAGCAATGAATCATCATGTTAAAAGAAATGTATCAGCTTTTACTACTTGCTTGAGAATTAAGGAACAGTAAAACCTTTAAAAGTTCTGTATGAAAGAAAGAAAAACAAGGTGACAGGTATTTTTATTGGACAGATATTTGCAGAAATGAAACAAGTAGATTATGCTGAGATGTGGTCACAAAATACTACTTTTGAATCATTGTCAAGTGACCATATAAATACTGAAATATCCAGAAAACATCTATAGTTGTTACAGAAAGAAGTCATGCAGTATATACAGTATGCTTGTGTGTACTTATAAACAGATCAGCATTTTTCATCAGTTATATTAGCCTAACACCCTATGGCACAAAGAACAGAACAGTTAAATAGCATATATCTGTTATAAAAGTCATCGCACAATTATGCCTAGGAAAAGTGATTGTATTCAATGTGGTTAAGGCACAAGTTATTACACTATATTAGGCCAAATAAAATATTTAATTAGTAATTATACATCAGGTGTTTGTGCTCATTTACTATGTCTTCAGGTTTAAAAAAAAGCAATTTATTTCTTCACTTGAACTGTTAACTTTATTCTCCTGCTCAGTGCAAGAAACTCAACATGTTTCTGTCACAGGAAAACCTTTTCATGTCACTTTATAGGCCCCTGGAGAGAAGTATTTATAATGCAGGTGCTAATGCAGTTCTGACTGTGTCGGTGCAAATATGTCAGCATAAGAACATGGTTCATAAGCTTCCACTTTTCTTTCCACCATTTGCCATGAATGTTGCAAGACTATTTCAATAATGGCTTTCAAAACACAAATGCAAATTTATACCCAAAAGTTCATCTTATATTTATATAGAGAGCCAGTGTGGTGTAGTGGTTAAGAGCCTGGGACTGGGACTCAGACGATCTGGGTTCTAGCCCCCGCTCAGCCATGGAGCCAACTGGGTGACTTTGGGCCAGTCACAGACTCTCAGCTCAACCTACCTCACAGGGTTGTTGTGGGGATAAGATGGAGGAGGAGGATCTAAGCTGCCTTGAGCCCCTTGTAGGAAAAAGGCAGGATATAAATCGCAATATAAATAAATAAATATTTAAAAGACATATGTACCTTTTTATAGTTCAATTTAAGTTGTTAACATTACATAGCAAATTCTTGGAAACAAAATAGAAGACACACATACAGTATTTCATTTAAAGAAGCATATGTTACCCTAACCCTGTCTTTTGGGTAGAAAGGATGATGACCATGTCCATGACCATGCTCAGTTAGAATTGTAAAAGTTAAAGGGCTGATCTTTAGATCAGCCATTTTCAAGTCACTAGCTGGGTGTGCCAGGTAGTTCTAATCCAATACATCTGGAAGTCAACAGATTGGGATAGAGTAATCGGGAAGAATGAATCCAAGCCTTGCTCATACTCATTGCACACTGATGAGTTTAATCAGTTGCACTGTTTAGCCATGTTATTCAG